GCAGCAAAGCAATTAGAATGTTTACCACTGCACAGTAAGTGCACTATTTGACGCCTCTATTTGACTCTCATATATGAAGTGCATCGCAGGCCGCAAATGTACTATTCAGCAGATTAGCAGCAAAACAATTAGAATGTTTACAACTGCGCAGTAAGCACACTATTAGACACTTCTATTTGACTCTCAGATATGAAGAACAGGCCCCAAAATGTACTATTCAGCAGATTAGCACCCAGAAAATAAGAATGTTTACCACTGCGCAGTAAGCACACTATTTGACGCTTCTATTTGACTCTCAGATATGAAGTGCACGCCCCAAAATGTACTATTTAGCAGATAAGCACCCAGAAAATAAGAATGTTTACCTCTGCACTGTAAGCACACTATTAGATGCTTCGATTTGACTTTCAGATATGAAGTGCACCCTACTAAAATACTATTTAGCAGTTTAGGAACCAAAAATTTTTTACGTTTTAAAACTGCAATGTGACAGCAGTATTTGACGCTTCTATTTGACTCTCAGCTATGAAGCGCACCCCACTAATGTACTTTTTAGCACCCAAAATTTTTTATGTTTTAAAACTGCAATGTGACAGCAGTATTTGACGATTCTATTTGACTTTAAGATATGAAGTGCACCCCACTAATGTACTACCCTACTAATGTACTATTTAGCACCCAAAAAAATGTACTTTTTAAAACTCCGATGTAACCGTGGTATTTGAAGCTTCTATTTGACTCTCAGATATGAAGTGCACCCCACCACCACTAATGTACTAGTTTGCAGAATTTCTTCCTAAGCTGTCCCTATCAGCGGCAGCATCCTCTCCCTACACTAATAAGACTGCACGTGCGTGCGGCACTACGCAACTCCAGCTTATATATAGAGGCTGGGTCACATGCTGCACTGGCCAATCACAGCCATACCATTAGTAGGCATGGCTGTGATGGCTTCTAAGGGCACACGAGTCAAATGCTTGTTGATTGTCTGCCCAGCAGCCTTTGAAAACGCGCAATTAAATTGCCGAACACCGAACTCCAACCCAAACATACAGTGATATGTCCGTGTTCAGGTCCGGGGTCCAAAAAAACCTAATGTTCGGTATGAACCCGAACTTTACAATTCGGGTTCGCTCAGCTCTATTCAAGAACCACCCTTCGGAGGTCGGAGGGTACAAACAATTTATTCTGAGGAGTTTGGTTAGGTACTAGATTCTGTGCAGCCTGTAAAGTTGTAATGAGATCTGAGCTTATCTTCAGATGTGTAGCAGCTATGATCGTGTTCTCAGGAATAATGGGAATAGCTTCCTCTGGTTCAGGAAAAAGAGGTTCAAATTGACGGGACAATGCGTCAGCTTTGGAATTATTGGTTCCGGGTCTATAAGTAAGGACGAAATTAAAACGTGAAAGAAATAGAGACCATCTAGTCTGTCTGGCTCATAGTCTTCTGGCCTCACTCATATATGATAGATTCTCATGGTCTGTTAGTATCGTGATAGGGGTAGAGGAACCTTCCAGCAAGTGTCACCATTCTTTACGGGCTGAAATAACCGCCAAGAGTTCCTTATGACCTATATCATAATTTTTTTCTGCAGAGGTAAGTTTCTTAGAAAAGAAACCACAGGGATGTAGAGGTTTTTCAGGAGACACTCGTTGGGAGAGAATGGCTCCTATGCTAAAAGGCAAAGGAGAGATGGATCGGGTGGACCAGGATGGGGGCCGAGGCAAATGCATTTTTTAAAGTATCAAAGGCAGAGATAGCTTCCTGAGTCCAAACCTGGTTGGAGTTACCCTTTCTGGTCATGTTGGTTATAGGAGAAATTATAGAGGAGAACCCCTTTATAAATCTCCTATAATAATTAGAAAATCCAATAAATAGTTGTATAGCCTTCAACCCAATGGGTAAGGACCATTTACGAATGGAAACAAGCTTCTTAGGGTCCAAAAACTGATTCGGAGATTACATAGCCTAGGAAATGTACTTTTTTCTGATCAAATAAACATTTTTATAATAATATAAACCATTGTCTAGTAATTTTTGTAAGATCTTCCTTACATGTAAGTGATGGGTATCAATATCAGGGGAGTATATCAGTATATCATCCAAGTAAACGATAACAAATTTGTGTAGATAGTCCCTCAAAACATAATTTATGAACTCCTGGAAGACGGCAGGGGCATTGCAGAGACCGAAAGGCATGACCGTATATTCATAATGCCCATAACTAGTATTAAAGGCAGTCATCCACTAGTGTCCAACCTTTATCCTTACCAAATTGTACGCACCACGTAAATCTAACTTGGTGAAGATCTGGGAGCCCTTTAACCTATCAAAAGTTCTGTAATCAGAGGAATAAACGTTGCGGATAGTGATCTTATTTAACCCTCTGTAATCAATACATGGCCTGTGATCACCTTCCTTCTTCGTAACAAAGAAAAACCCTGCCCCAGCAGGAGAAGAGGATCTCCGTATAAACCCCTTTTCTACATTTTCCTTAATGTATTCTTCCAATATCTGATTCTCCTTGAGAGATAGAGGATAAACAGTACCCCTAGGTGGCATGGTCCCTGGCAATAATTCGATAGGACAGTCATAAGACCGATGAGGAGGTAGTTTATCTGCTTGTCTCTTGTTAAATACCTCCCTATAGTCATGATATACCAGAGGTATCTCAGTAGATAAAGGAAGCGTATCTGGCACATTTATGAGTCCCAAGGATTTAGTGTCTAGGTTACATCCTTTAGAACACGAGGAACTCCATTTGACTATCTCCCCTATTTTCCAATCAATCATAGGGTTGTGTTTGGATAACCATGGATACCACAGTACTACAGGAAAAGAAGGAGAAGAAATAACCCATAGAACAACAATTTCCTCATGTAGGGCCCCGACCCTCATAAGAACTGGATTAGATTCCTTGGTAATAAAGGGTTCCTCAAGGGGTCTACCATCTATGGCCTCAACGGGCAAAGGTGTAGATTTTTCTCGGAGAGGAAGGATAGATTTCTCTGCGAAACTTTTGTGACAAAATGCCTGAGTGGGAGTGTCTGAGTGTATTGTACGTATTGATTGGTTGTTCTGCAAAACCCTGTGGGCAGTACTATGTGTGTAAAATGTGCATAAAAGCAGAGTGTTTGATTAAAAGCTTCAGTTCTACTTCACCCTCAATTTGGAGTGCCCTCTCTTATTGGGGGAATCTGCAAGGCATTGCTATGCTTGTCATACTCCCTTGCTAAATCACTACTAAGCTCTTGTAAGAGCTTGTTCCTGCCTTGCTCTCTGAAGGCGTCTACGATGGTTATGGTGTCGGCTGGAGTGCTTGGAGCCCTCAGGAAGCGCTAGGTGCATCCTTCAATCGAGGTACCCAGTCGGGGAGCCAGGTGATCCGTTACAACTTTTATCTAAAAAATTCTCAGCAGCCCTGGAATCTATGAGGGCAAGAGTGTTAACAGCTTTCCCCTCCCATTTTAGGATGATGGGTAAAATAAGCCTTTTTTCTTGAATGAGACCTTAGGTTCTGCAGTTTTCCGGCCTTTCAGGACAAGATAAACGCATATGCCCCTGCCTACCGCAAGAAACATGCATAGCCCCTCTCTTCTCCTATGTTGGCGTTCCTCCTCAGTTAGTCTAGTCATACCCAATTGCATAGGTTCTGGAACAGCAACTACCATGGACTCAGATGGAGAAGTAGGGGTTGTTCTAATAATTGATCTCCAGCGTCTTTCTCTAGTATTAGACCTATGTCTTAGTCTCTCATCGATGTGACCAAGATATGTGATGAGATCTTTTAAATTCTCTGGTAAATCCCTAGTGGCAACCTCATCTAACAAAATATCAGATAACCCATTGAGAAAAATGTCGACAAATGCTTGGTTGTTCCAGCGAACCTCTGATGCTAAGAATTCTAAGGCATAATCCATGAGGGAACAGCTACCCTGTTTTAATCTTAGAAGAGATCTAGCCGCGTTTGTCTTCCTACCAGGAGGATCGAAAGCCCTTCTAAAGGCGGCTAGAAACTGACTATAGTCATAAACTAGAGGACTATTATTCTCCCAGAGGGGATTTGCCCACATCAGCGCCCTATCCGTTAATAAGGTTATGATAAAACCTATTTTGGCTCTATCAGTCGGATAGGATCTGGGGCATAATTCGAAAAGAATGCTGACCTGCTTAAGAAGCCCTCTGCATTTGGATGGGTCCCCATTGTAACGTATGGGCTGCTGAGGATTGCTACTAGGATTATGAGACGAAGATTCAGAACTAGTAGGAATGTTACTGATGGCTTGAATAGGGGGTTCATTAGATCTATTGATCAGCGTTTGTAATGCCTGGGCAAATTGATCCATGCGGTGGTCTATACTATCCATCCTAGCATCCTGGGGATTGACACCTGCAGTGTCCATTGACCCTGTTCCAATGTAATGAATATGCCCAACACGCAGAGTGTAAATCACCAGAACCACAAAGGTAGATAGAGAAAGCCCCTATACCGGTCCTTAGAATGGCCGGGCTGAAAGGAGCTAGCAGAGCCAGAGACAAGCCGAGGTCAAAGGAGTACAGAAAAGCACAAAAGCAAAAAACAAGCCAATTCAGGAAACCAGAAATCAGAGGAGTCAAGGGATAGCCAAGTCAAAACACAAAGAAGCAAATAGGAAAGTGCTGAGGAGGAACTAGGAACACAAGGAACACTAGGAACCACGACAGGGCACTAAGTTGAAGGCAGGCCGGGCTTTTATATGATTGGGGACATAACCATGCCCCCAAAAGGTACGAGTCATTTGAACTCTTGTGTTTAAAGCTATTTTGTTTAGAACTCTTTTGTTTAGAGCTCTTTTGCTGACATGTGACTGCAATTCCCCATTAAAAGGGTCCTGTTTCTTACACAGACAGACACACACACATACTCACTGACAGACAGACAGACTCACTGACAAACACACACACTGACAGACACACACTGACAGACACACACATACTCACTGACAGTCGCACACACATACTCACAGACACACATATTCACAGACACACATATACTCACAAACAGACACACACACATACAGACACACTGACAGAGAGACACACACTCACAGACACTCACACAAACACACTTACACATTCTTGCACATATATACTTTTCTTTATTGCTCCCTACATTTTGGAGCCGATGTGGGACATCTCCCTGGGATCCTTCTATCTGCTCCTCACTGCTCCGTCGCACAGTTTAGTGATGCCGGAATATTACATAATTTTCCGGCGCCCGGCTTTACTACAGATGGCGCACGCGAGGGAACAGGAACACTGAACTCCCTTGCTGGCCATCCTCCCTGGCCAGGTAAGTTTTAGCAGAGTAAGCACCTGCAATGTGGGGAAAGCAGGTGCCTACTCTGCTATAACAGCAGCATGTACTCACAGCTCGCCGGACCACAAAGATGGTCCTTGTGGGCCGCATGCGGCCCACGGCCCTCGAGTTTGACATGCTTGCTGTACCAAATCTAGTTCTACAGGACCCGGGAAAATATGGGAAGTCTTCTGTCTCCCTTTAAGGATAACATGAAACCCCCCTGGAGTTCGAAACAACAATGGTTCGACAATATTTATCTATGTTAATTCTAAGCCTCTAGCTGCCAGAGCTAAAGCTAGAAGGGATGCTAATTTAATAGCCATACATTTTAGGTCAATCTGGCCATTGTCCAAAGAGTTAAGGTAGTTTAATAAAAAGTCCACATCCCAAGTGGAAGTGTATCTCGGAGTAAAAGGCCGGCAAACCGATAGCCCTTTTAGCAACCTGAGGTAAAGGGCATCTTTGGTCAGATTAGGGATTAGAAAATTTAATGCAGAACCATATGTCTTGATTGTACTGACAGCTAACCTCGAATAATATTTGAGGGTGAGGAATTCCAGAGCTAAGGGAATTGTGTCAGATTCATGGGAAAGGGAATTGAAGGAAACTTCCCATGCTTTAAATTCTTCGATCATCTGCCTGTATCTTACCCTGATCCTGCGCCATAATGAAGAATTAACTATGTCTAAATCCTGGTCAGAAAGAAGCGGATGAGTTAAAAGCCTACTGGGGCTGCGATCCACATAAGTTGGGGAAGCTTGGCTAGGAGATCCCTGGTCCCCAGCAAGCAATCAGCTGTCCAACCTAATGGTATTTTTGGTCCCCTCATTAGATTTTGTATCAGGGGGTACCATGGCCTGGAGGTCAAGATAGGATTCACTAAAACCAGATTTGGCACCCTGTCCCGGTGAAGTTTCTCCAACACTTTCATCAGAATAGATGGAGAGGGAAAGGCGTAAAGGCCAGGAATGTCCATCCATTGGAAGGACATTGCATCCATCTTTGAAGCTCCTCTTGCCCAAGTCCTGGTTTCGAATTTGGGAGTCTGACCTGAGGTCTGGGATGCAAAAAGATCTGTCTCTTGCCAATCTGCCCTCTATCAGCTGAAATAAGACAGTCTTTAATTGGACTGTAGCCAGGGACAAACGCTGACGGGACAGTGAATCAGCCAGCTCGTTAGCCTCTCTTGGGACATGAACTGCACATATTCGGACTTTGTGTACTAGAGCCCAGGATCACAGGTCCGGAGCCTCTAGATAAAGGATAAAGACCTTTTGACCTTGTGCCACCTCTGTGGTTGACATAAGCTACTGCTTGTCTGATTGAACCATTACCGACACTTAGAGGGTTCAACAGAACAAGGTCTTGAAGGGATAAGCTTATTGCTCCCAACTCCAGCACATTTATGTGAAGAAGCCTTTCTTGAACTGACCAAACTCCTCTTATCGCGCTTTGGGCAGAGAACGCACCCCATCCCTTGGTAGAAGCATCTATGGTCAGGGCTAACTCGAAAGGCCCTTCCAAAAGCGGGCAAGGAAGTGGAACTGCCCACTCCAATACATCATTTAGCTCTTTTCTGACACTCTTGGGAAAGACCACCCTTGACTTCCACAGGCCACCGTGTCTCAGCTGGTCTCCTAGAAACAGCTGGCTCTGTCTGCACAGCAAGGGGGAAGCATCATAACCCAGTGTTAAAGCTATCAACCTCCCAATAGTCTTTGCTAGTTCTCTTAGAGACCATCTGTGCTTCAAAAGAGCTGAAGTTAAGTGAGTTAGCATTATTTCCCATTTGTCTCGGAGAACCCTCAAGGTCATAGCCATACTGTTCAGCATGAAACCCAGAAATAAGATGTTCTGAGTAGGGAACATGATGTATTTCTGCAGATTTACTATAAATCTCAGATCCTGCAATAGGGAAATTAGGTAATCTCTCTGCTGAACAAGAGCAGCAACAAAATGTTGTCTAAATAATAAAGGCATAGGAAACATCTTTGTCTGACGTAGGACATAATAACTTTCATTATCCTGGAAAAGGTGTAAGGTGCTGTTACAAAGACTCGATAGGACTTTATTATTGTTACCACATCTTGTTACTGTTGCATCCCTATACTATTGATACAGAGAAAATACAAATGGATTATACGAATCCTTATAAAGAACCATTCATGGTACGAACGAGCGACTCCCCAAACGCTGGCGTGTGCAGCCACTTAACCTCATCACCCCTCTAAGTACCGAATGACTGACCACCCGACAAGCGGAGTGTGTCGCCCATTAACCCCCCAGGCTGCTGCGGTCTGCGGTTAACCGCAATCTAATTGACGGGCACGGAGGATCTACATTCGCATACAAATTACCGAAGGGGAACTACCAAAGAACTCACAAACGGAGACCTCCTACAGTGGGTCGTGTGGCAGCAATTAGAATGTGGTTTCTGCGGTTAACCGCAACTCAAGTACCGTGCTACCGGGCGGTCTCAATTCGTACACCGAACAACTTCCACCACCAGACAGACAGCGGGGATTCGCATGATCACATATCCGATTTCCGTTCCATGAGTTGGAGTCGTGGTCCCGCTGCTCATTAAACCGCCTAAAAACATGGCCGCCATCAGGGACTCACGACCAAGGTATCGAACAGACTTTATACGGCAGAAATTGCCCATTCCGTTCGTGGGGTCTGAGCGCCAATGTATATTTAATGTACCCGAACTCGAGCTATTGAATGAATGGTAGAATGAACCGTTTTCCCCTATTAATATTGAAGTTATGCATTTTTATACTGTTTTATGAGACATAATAAAACGTGGTCTTTTGTGCGAATGGAGATAATTAGATTGTATAACCGTTGGCCTCATCATCTCCAAGCTGGACGGGTACTAATTCAAAGGATACATTGTACTGTGATTGGTTACCTGTTTGTACTGTACCTGTATTCCATCAGGTCCATAGGGGGCTGTCCTTGGACCTGAGGAATTGCATAAATTGCCATGTTGTGTGCCAGTAAAGCCAGTTCATTTTGACCCTCAACTTGCAGCCTCGACTCATGATATTGATGCTCATACAGCTTTTGGGGATACTCTACACTTGCAGCTTATACCGAAGGAACTCCGTTCGACTCTCTTACTGCGGGAACCAGGACATCCAAGCGATCAACCCCCCTGCTAGACCGGGGCAATCATAACAGGTGCATTGGATAGGCCAAACACCATTACAGTCCAGCGATATATCTGTTCCTTCCAGCGGAATCTGAGAAAGCGCCTGTGCTTCATAACGATAGGAACTGAATGGAAAGCATCTATGAGGTCTAATTTTATGCAGAAATATTTTTTCTGCACTACATCTGGGAGGTCTGTTAAACCTTTCATCCTGCATATTTTCCTCTTGAGGAAATCATTCAAAGCCTTGACATTCAGTACTGGTCTCCATGTATCGTCTGATTTTGGAACGGGGATCAAGGGACTGGTCCAACCTGAAATTGACATATCAGCCAATTCTATTTTTCCTTGAGCTATTGCCAGGGAAAGAGAGGCTTTAAGAACTGGATTTACCTCTCTACACAGAGCTTGCCTCTGGAAAGGAAACCGAATGAGGAGGAGTTGTAATCCCCTTTTGAAAATCTGAAACCCCCATTTGTTATAGAGGTTATATCTGATCAGTTTTGAATTATGTGAGGTAAAACAATTACTTGACTGCATGGGTCTTCATTTTCCTGATGAGCCACCTCTGGCATGGGCTCCTCTACTACTGCCTGAGGGTCTTGACTTTCCCCCATGATGACGGATGTGGGCTTGATGAGAAACTTCCCGGGAAAAAAACTGTAGCCCGGTAGGAACGATCCTTTGTCCAAAAGGGCTTTTTGTAACTTGAAGAGCTCTTCTTTAAATCAGAGAAAGATCTCCTAGCCTTATACAGTCCGGTCCATAAATATTGGGACAGCGACACAATTCTAATCTTTTTGACTCTATACACCAATACAATGGGTTTGAAATTAAACAAACAAGATGTCCTTTAACTGCAGACTTTCCGCTTTAGTTTGAGGGTATTTACATCCAAATCAGGTGAACGGTGTAGGAATTACAACAGTTTGTATATGTGCCTCACACTTTTTAAGGGACCAAAAGTAATGGGACAGATTAACAGTCATAAATCAAACTTTCACTTTTTAATACATGGTTGCAAATCCTTTGCAGTCAATTACAGCCTGAAGTCTGGAATGCATAGACATCACCAGATGCTGGGTTTCATCCCTGGTGATGCTCTGCCAGGCCTCTACTGCAACTGTCTTCAGTTCCTGCTTGTTCTTGGGGCATTTTCCCTTCAGTTTTGTCTTCATCAAGTGAAATGCATGCTCAATCGGATTCAGGTCAGGTGATTGACTTGGCCATTGCATAACATTCCACTTCTTTCCCTTAAAAAACTCTTTGGTTGCTTTTGCAGTATGCTTCGGGTCATTGTCCATCTGCACTGTGAAGCGCCGTCCAATGAGTTTTGAAGCATTTGGCTGAATATGAGCAGATAATATTGCCCGACACACTTCAGAATTCATCCTGCTGCTTTTGTCAGCAGTCACATCATCAATAAATACAAGATAACCAGTTCCATTGGCAGCCATACATGCCCACGCCATGACAGTACTACCACCATGCTTTACTGATGAGGTGGTATGCTTTGGATCATGAGTAGTTCCTTTCCTTCTCCATACTCTTCTCTTCCCATCACTCTGGTACAAGTTGATCTTGGTCTCATCTGTCCATAGGATGTTGTTCCAGAACTGTGAACTCTAATCTGGCCTTCCTGTTTTTGAGGCTCACCAATGGTTTACATCTTGCGGTGAACCCTCTGTATTCACTCTGGTGAAGTCTT